AAATAAATGAACATGTATGGTCTATAATGAAGTGGTCGAAAATGAGTCATAACACTTGACGGGCGTTCAAGAAGAAAAGTGTCCAAATGAGTTCTTAAAATGTGGCTACCTACTTGAAATTAATGCTTATATATGGCTTAATTTGATTGGAAATATGTTCAAGGCCGACTGATTGAGAACTGTAGTTCTAATGGAGCGTCAAACAAGCTAGATCAATTCCACCTGTTCAATCCAAAAAAGTGACAAACAGTTTGTCAATGAAAGTAGTTTTTGTGTGGGAGTGGACAAAAGTATCAAATCGGTTGATTCACTCTAACTTTTAAAAGATTTTGGATATTATCAACATTCTAAGACCCGAACCAATAACTCAAGATAAATTGAATTTTTAACGTGCTAGTTTCGATCATTTATGAAATTTTAGTTAATATTAACACAATGTCTTTCATTATTATTATGGAATTGAATGGCTCGATTTCATAATTATACTTGGAACCAGTTCAATTTATAAAATTTTCATCGATTCTTGGTTTGGTTTGATCTGTTTACTTTGAATCTAATAGAAGAGTCCCGTCCATACAAAATTTAAAATTTAGAAACTACTAAAATAATCTTAGAACCAACCAATTCAGTCCTTAACTAGCAAGTAACAAGAAAGAGGAAAAAAATGAATAGAAAAAAGTAACTAGATATTGTTTATCTTCTTTTGTCTCTACACTCTAGTTTGATAATTAAGAAAACAAAGACAAATATGAAATGAATATTGCTACTTGTACATGGAAAGTTACATAATAGTTTACATACAAATGAGGTATCAAAAAGGATCATAATGGAGCTTTTTCTTTTTCTTTTTCTTTTTTTAAATTTATTTATTTGAAGAAATTCTGATTCAATCATATTTCACCACATCATTTGTATATAAACTATTATATAAATTATTACAAACATGTATCACAATCGAAAATGATTATTAATTACACAAAAACAGAAGTAACATTGCTATCATAAAAAGCTAGTCGACAGATGGGTTCAAAGCTGCACGGGCTTTCAAGTCTGTCTTCTTAACCACTCGAAGATATCGATTTTCCCTAACTTCTATTGATATGAATTTTTTAAATAATTTTTAGAGAAGGGATGAATCTTTTTTAGGGCACAGACTTTCTTCTTTGGTGGCTTTCCTTTATACTAGTAGCGGATTGTACGTTGCACGATCACCAATATAATTTCAGAAGGGATTTTATTAAAAGAATAAAATATTTTAGAATATCTAAACATTTAATTATGTAGACTTATTAATATATTTTTATATTATGATATAATAGCTCAACTTGAATAAGCACTTAGTAAAGCATAAAAGTTCACATGCAATTAAATTAAACATTGTAGTAAGCATTTATAAGAAAGCATTCCAAAATTATATACAACTCTTGAAAGTCTATAGCCTAATTTACCTGAAATTAAGAGTATAACTCAAAAATAAATGAAATCAACCCTAAAGCAAATAAATATAAAAATTGTTCAAATCAAATAAACATTTGGGTTTGACGGTTTAATTTTTTGATCTTCAACCTGACTAAACATCATACCAGATATCTTAATATTGCAACAATGAAGATTCATAGAATTTTAACAATTCGAATATGTTTTATTTGATATCTAAATTGTAACATAAGGTTTTTAAACATCATAGTTTAATAGAAAAATATAATGTAAATTTCAATATACCAACAAGAAAACATGAAAAAATTCATAGAATGTATCATTCGACAAAGAGGGGTTGCTATAGGTTTTAGATTACATACACAAGTGAAAGAAAAAAAAATTCAAAAAACTACAAGAAGCAGAAAATAAAATGAGCCCAACATAGTGCACTTTCTATCCCCCTCAATGTCGTCGTATTACTCGCTTGGGATTCGAAGCAACATAATATACTTTCTTCCGGTAAGAAATATGGAGTTCATGTTGATATATAGAAGTTCCTGGACAGAAAAATGAATCGAAATAAAATTTGTTTCCTTGAGGGAAATTATTTTCACACTTTGTCTAGATTTGTATCTGAAGCCATCAAATTTCTCAGTGTCTCTTCCAAAAACATAGAAAGGAAAGCAAAGCAGAAAAATAGTACTTTGTTAACGTAATGAATTAGTTTGTCCATTTGCTTGAACCAAGACTCAGCATTTTGATATTGGAAGTCATCTTCCATGTTCCACATCATATCATTGGTTTGAGTATCGTTTGCCTATTTAACAAAGACCAAATGGTCAACTGCATATGCTGTCTTACCTTCTAAATGAATGCACTGCTCAATAAGAAGATTTAGCAACTGTTGAATTTAAGGAATAATAGATGCGTAAATAGCACAAGACATCACTAACTTTCAATGTCATTGTGCAAAACATCTCTAATTTTCATTTTTTGACATTTTCATCCCTATTTCCCACATTTCATTGCTCAAAAGATCATTTTCATCCATTTTTGACGATTTTACCCTCATTTCGAATGGGGGGAAAAAAGGAAAAGAAAAGGAAAAATAGAGGACCATTGCAACTATAATACCAAATTTTCAAAAAATTACAAATTACTCACAAAATATAGTACATCTATATCAACCTTTTATCCCCTCCACCACAGTCCATACATACGGAGATTTCGCCATCATCCACCTCAATATTCCGTACATACTCGACCTTCCAAAATTTTTCTAGTCTTCAGTTATGTAATTTATTCACATTTACCAAATGCTTCTAGATACCCTTTTGTTTTCCAAAAATTTCAGGCATGGAAGATATCTTCTTAATAAAAATTTAATAAAGATGAGATTTTTATCATATTTCAGTAACCCCATTTTGAATTCCCCACCAATTAATGCAAAGAACTGTAGAAATTACTGTTCGGGAAATCATAGGAGTGAAGATTCCACCGAGTGGACTGAGGAAATACAATATTTAGACGAGTCAAGAAGTATTATTTTCTCCGGTAAGGGAATAAGATCGGTCAAGCCAGATGTTGATGACCATGTAATGGTTGGAGGGATTAAAAAGCCCATGTTGAATGCCTCTGTCGTTGTTAAGATGGTTGAGGTTGTAAAGAGGATGAGACGGAAGCCTGATATGAAGTGGAGGGGATAAAATGATGGTATAGATTTGTTATATTTTGTGAGTGATTTGTAATTTTTAAAAATATAGGGTTATAGATGCAATTAGTTCTCTATGTTTTCTTTTTTTTTCTTTTTGTTTTATTTGAAAGGAGAGTAAAATCGTTAAAAATGGATGAAAATGATTTTTACGCAATGAAAGATGAAAATAAGGATGAAAATATCAAAAAATGAAAGGTAGTGACGTTTTACACAATGATATTGAAAGGTAGGGACGTTTTGTGCTATTTATCTATAAAAGAAATATTGAAATTTACTTGAATTGTTGCAGCACTGATAAAACCATTAACTCATGTGTCGACATTGAAGTCAAAAAGAAGGAAATTATCCGCATTTTAACAAGTTGAGAAGCTTAAGTATAGGCTTATACAACTGATAAGTGTATTTTATATACTTATTCAAGACTTCAAAACGATAATATTTAATGACTTCTTTGATAAATTATGATCTAAATTGCTGTATTTGGTGTTGAATAGGTGAAATTCAATTATGGTACCAAAAAGTAGAAGAAGCAAAAGTGGGCAAAATTGGAGAAAATGGCTAAGTGTAAGAGATCCATAGTTGGGGGACTAAAGTGTATATACTCAAAAGTTGTGTCGGATCTCATGATGAAGATTTAAGAGTTCTCGAAGTCAATTGGATAAAGAAAGACATCAAAGGGATTAAATATAATCAAAGTATGATCACACATCAAGTTCAAATTGGAAAAAAAAAAAAAAAAAAAAAAAAAAAAAAAAAAAAAAAAAAAAAAAAAAAAAAAAAAAAAAAAAAAAAAAAAAAAAAAAAAAAAAGAAAGAAGTTATGCATCATTTTCAGCCTCCCATTGAGACCCAATTTTGTCATAGAAAATGATAAAATTTGAAAATGATATTTGAAACGAAGTTATATCCCTTTAAGTTAGCTTTCCAACGCATTTTGAATCGCCTCAATCGAACATTGAAAAAGAAAATTATGATAAAAATACTGAAATAGGTGTTGTCTGTCTGAAATGTGGCCGTGGCACCACTTCAGGGCACTGCAACGCTTGGAGATTCAGAGAGGTAGCGACGCAGCACCATCCACCACCTATTTTTGATGCGATGCTGCAGCGCTGCATTCTAGGCGCCGCATTCTAGGCGCCGCAGAACCACCAATCCGTAACCTAAGCGAGATTTCAGCCCCATTTTGAAGTCATGATGAAAACCTTACCTTCTACACACGGCAAGACACCTATAAATACAATTTTTCCACACTTTTGTAGGGGATTTTAAGCATTGAAAGGCAAGAGAACATAATTGGAAAATCAAAAAAGAAATTCAGAGGAAAACATAAAGCAATTGAAAGTTTAATGCATTAATTGGAAGAGAAAAAAGATATTTCTTACTCTATATTCTTATTCAAAACCCGGTGATGTCTTCCATAATAACTTCTTATTTTACTTTCATTACTATGAGTAGCTAAATATAATTTTAAGACGAACAATATAACTGATTTAAGAACTTTTATTTCTTTTATTTGAGATTCTTGTTCGCTATAATTACATGTGTGGATTTTAATTATCTTCTTAATGCCTTTAATTTTTTTGCCAATTATTCAATGATTTCGTGAACAATAATTGCGTAGAGATGTGAATTCTTATTTAGACCACATATTAAAATTCGGTATATTAATATAACGTGTAGAGATACATATATTAATTATTGTGGTCGTAAATAAATTCTTGGAACTATTAGTGCGTTTAACTAAATTTGATTCGCATAGAGATCTGGAATTGAAGTAGTTAAATGAGCTCAATGAAAATTTGAGAAGCGTAAATTGAATACAATAGAAAATTTTGATCAAAGACTACTTTAGATTTTATAAATCTCGATATTAGAAGTAAATGTGACCAATAGGTGAAGTTGTTTAGCCCTAACATTCATTTATTGTTTGAATTCCAAATCATTTTTCGTTGCATCCATTCTCATTTTGAGTAGTTAGATAAAAATCACAATCAATCATCATTTTTGTTTATTTTCATCAAATAATGGTTAAGGAAAATTGAATTAAGTGTCAAAGTATAGTCCTTATGAAATCAACAACTAGGACTCTTAAGTCCACTTTACTACTTGTTACGATCCGTATACTTGCGGGATAAAATCGACAACAACAACCATAAAGATCGTTGGGACTAACTAATGTTTGGTTGAAGATAGAACCTTGAACAGGATGGAGTCATCATCTACTTCAAAATGGAAACCAATGGTGAACTATAATGAACATGAAATGATTCGGTAAGTATCTGCAAGGATTCAGACCTCCAATTAATAAAAAACGAAGCAATTTAAGAAAAAATGTGTACAGATCACCAGTTTCATTCATAACCTGAGAAGAGGAGCCAAATGTCATGGAAGCCTGCCATATAAATTTAAGTGATTTATCTGCATCAAGTTTTACCTTGTATTGATAATCAATCCATGCAAAATGAATGGAATGAAATCCCAACTATAGAAACAAAAAAATTAATTAATTAATTAAAGATGGAAGTAAGAATAAAAAATTTGTAATATATAAACATGGAATATCCAGTCCATGGATTATAGACATGGATTGTGTTAAGTTGACGATTCTTCAAATTTCAACAACTGTCTTATGAATACCTCAGCCCCAAGTAGGTAATCTTGAATTGCAGAGTTCCCAAATGGATTGATCTGCCACGATAAGTCTTATTGAACTGACTCTTTATTAGTTGATGGCAAAGGGTTGTTTTGTCAATCATGTCTAGTTGCTTCATCATGCATACTACACCAGCCACCAAGATAGTCCATGAATATTTTTCTAAATTGGAATGAATAAAACACAATTGTAAGCCTCTATATATTTGGAAACAAAAGAGGATTCTTTTGATTTCTATTCGATGTGAGAATCATGTGAATCCCATTAAAAGTAGGAAAGTTAAATCGTATTCTATGTGGTTGGTAAAAATTCAATCCTTATTCTATATAAAATTAACCTAAGTCAATCCATCTTTAGTATTTTACTTGGCAGAGATAATACAAACCCGAGTTAGTCTTAACCTGCAGATCATTTATCAACAGATGCAGAAACTTCCAATACATCAAGTGAGGAAGAGATTGTGTATGCTTGCAAAAGATCAAATCTTTACCTGCTTGCTTTCAAGAAGCTCAATTTTTCATTCCTGCAAATTAATCAACGATAAAGATATGCATGAATAACTCATACGGCAATACTATTCAGCAAGCCAGTAGAATTTAAATTTTAAAGCACTATGACAGCTTACCAAGCTGCATACCATCTCATTGATTAAATTAATGTCATGCCCAATCGATTAAGACTAGATCTCATTTCACTTACCTGCATAATATTAGTAAGAGTATCAATCAAAGAAAATATATTTGTTTTGATGCCAGTTGTGTAGTAATTGTTATTTTCATCTATTGAACTTCCTCACTAAGAAACCCCAAACTTCAACAAGCATATGAACACAGATGAGCATCCTAAGTATGTAACTCAATCCTTGCCCACAGTCAGCCTATTCTTACGCATGAAAGTCATCTAACAGACAACAAAGACAAAGTTCACGACTCTTTTGAATTGTTAAGACTTCTTATCTGCCTTTACTTCAAAGAAATTTGCCTAATATTTGAGAAGTAGTGGGGTGTGAAGACTAAAATCATGTCGTGCATAAAGCTTATAAAATTTTTTGAGATTAAATTGATGCAGTGAACCTAATGATATTCAACATTTATCTCTTTTTCACCCTTTTATTTCTGTAGTGGTTTCTTTCAAATATTCTTCAGTTTGTCCCTTGTTGGTTTAGGAAGGAGTCATCAATGAAAATTCTAAGATGTTTCTCTCATTATATTCAATGCTTAGAATCTTACGACATCTTCATATTATTAAATATGAATGTGATAGTTTTTATTTCATCATAGCAGAAGTTAATCATTGAATCTGAAGAAGCCATAAATGTATGAACCATAAGACCTGAAAAGCAACTGCAGCATGTGCAATTGCACATTAAAATTATCACATCAAAGACAGAATATGTCATACATCATTTACAATAAGCTTTGATGTTTGCCTCTGCTCATCTAGGTTTTATGACTTTGCAGCATTGAAATCTCAAGCAAAAGATATGGAAGCTGAGAAAAATATCAAATTTAAATTCCAATATTTTATTATTAAGCCTAATTTCAAGGCTGATATCATAGCCGAAAACCTCACAAAAAGATAAGTACAGAAAAGAAAAGACTTCTAAGGACTTGATCAAGCTTTGTGAACTTAGATATTGAGATCTATCAAAACAAAAAGCATGGACATCTTCGTTGCATATGAAAGAGTTTACATTTCAACAATTTTCACTCCTAGGATCTTATGGTCATCAATAAACATTCAGTAAAGAACCTTCCACACCTTCCCTAATTATCAAATGGACACGACTTAATACAACAAAATCATATTTCATACTTATTTCAGCTGGGCAGCCAAATATCAAAGTAACTAAAAACACAAGAAAATGGTTGGATAGATGTATCATCATCCATAAAATTTTCATCTCCCTTGTTCCCCATAGTTATCCCACTCGGGATGTTTTTTCAGATTCATGTAAGACAATAAAAAATGAAATGCAAACAAAAACTTTAATGTGATAAAAATTCTTGACAAATACTATACAACATCACAATCCCCTCATGCCTAGATAAATGAAAATATCAGCATTTAAACATTTAGACCATCTCCAACCCTACACCAAAATTTGCACCATTTTGCATTAAAATTTGCACCAAACTAAAAATCATCTTCAATCAATTACACAAAAATTTGTATCAAATGGTCAGTGTTTAATCATTTTCTTCACTTTTTTTTTCATTTTAGTAATTTATTTATATGAAAAATTATTTATTTATTTAATCTACAACTTCATAATTAATTAAATAGATAATTATGTTCCGTTAACGAAAATATTAAATTCATTAATGAATTTAATGAATGTAGTACAATTAATAGAAAAATCACAACTAAGAAATATTAAATAATAATAACAACAACAATAATAATCATAGTATTAAAAATAATAGTTATAGTTGTAATAATAATTAATTAAGAATAAAATTTGTTGTATAACAAGAAAGTGACACAAATATCCTTAACAAAAGTTTGTGCAAAATGGAAAAGAATGGCAAAAATGACATTAGCCATTTTTGTACAAAATGGTGTAAGTGAATAGTGTTGTACTAATGGTGCAAAATTTGGTGTTGGGTTAGAGAGGGATTTTACCAAATATTTTGTGCAAAATGGAGGAAAATTGTGGAATGGTGAAAGGGTTGGTGATGTCCTTAAATCTTCGTCACCCACCATTCATTTATAATTTTTTTTTCACTTGAAAACTTTTAAAAAGAAAAACAACAAAATTGAAAGCTACAATTACCCAAATCAGGGGAATTTTTTCAAATTCCTAGCAAACAATAAACAATGAAATGCTAACAAGACCTTAACTTGATAAAAATCCTAACGAACTGTACAGAATCCCAGGAAAATGAAAAGATTGAAAACTGTTAAATAATCTATATTTACTTCACCTTAAAAATGTTAGAAGGAAAATAGCACAGATTGAAACCGCAAAATGATATTCAAGACAAAGAAACTAAGATAACAAAAGAAAATAAAAATTCATGACAAACTTACAGATTCTAAGTAGGAATAACCAATAGGCAACATTGTGAGCCTCCAGAGAGGACTTTCAGTCAAGGGCAGCGAGTATGGCTCAAGCTATGCTATTTGCTATTCTACTTTCCTCCATTTTCCCAAGTATTTTCAACTTCAACAAGTGAAACAAAGAGGGGTTTCTCTAAATTCTTTTCTACGTTTCAAGTTGAGAGTCCAAATAATCAAAACAAACAAACCAGATAAAATTTCATTTCAAAAAAAAAAAAAAAAAAATTCTTGCATATCTAAAACCATACAAAAAAATCGAACCGCCACACCTTCGATTCATAGAAAAAAATTTATATTTACTTACCAAAAATTCTTTTTTCAATAGTTCTTTCAATTGATCTATGATGAAAACTTCAAAACTCTGCAAAAGAAAAAAATAAAACTTTTAGGATGGTCAGCACCATACCGAAGAGCTTTAGCAAAATTACACAAAACACAGACAAAATTGTAGGAAAAAGAAATAGAAGAGAGAAGAAATGAGAAGAAGGAGAATGGAGAGTTAATTGTTACAATATTCACTAAACTTGGGTCCATATCTGATTGGTCATTTAAAATATCGAGTTTTGATTACTGAACTTTGAAAAATATCTTTGACTGGTTACTGAATTTTAAAATGTCGAGTTTTGACTACTAAACTTCGAAAAATGTCAAGTTTTGGTCATTGAATTTCGATCCATATTTTCGATTGCTCACTGAAATTTAAAATATCGAATTTTGATTACTGAACTTTGAAAAATATTGTAAATGACTCACTGAATTTTGAAAAATATTGTACATTATTCAATGAACTTTGAAAAATGTTGTACATTATTCATTGTAAACTCAATATTTTTCAAAATTCAACAGTTATGCTAGTGAATAATGTATAGCATATTCAAAGTTCAGTGACCAAAACTCGATATTTTAAATTTTAGTGAGCAATTGAAGATATGGACCCAAGTTTTGTGACTCAAACTCGACATTTTTCAAAGTTCAATGATCAAAACTCGACATTTTAAAATTCAATGACCAATAAAAAACGTGAAACTAAGTTCAGTGACCAAAATTCGACATTTTTCAAAGTTCAATGACCAAAACTCAATATTTTAAAGTTCAGTGATCAATCAAAGACATGGAGTTAAGTTCAGTGACCATTGGAACAATTAACTCGAGAATGGATGAATGTGTTGAGAATGGAGAAAATGAGCATGGGATATTGAGTGCAAAAATGAGGAAAGAGTCAGAGAAGAAAAAGAAGCGATTAAAAAGGTACAATAATGCCATGCTTCAGATAAAATAAAAGGGATAAAATTGATATTTAAAATATGGCATCAGCATGACATCATAGTGACGCCTTATGAATAGTTACAAACTTTGCTATTTTATATATCGTAGTGAAGTGATATTTCAATTTCCTGATTTTGTAATTTCATTTTTAAGTTTTGGATGAATTAACGGAGAAAAAAATACAATAGAATGTGAATCTTCTATTTTTTTTTATTTTTTTTAAATATTCGCGGGAATATATCTCTGGGGAGTTAATCATACTTAGACATAGGGAGATGGTCGGGGAAAGGGCGGACATATACTATAACAAGATCAGTTTCAGAGGTGGCGTAGGGGAGTAAATTGGGTCAATCTTGAATCTGTTATCCTAAGAATGATGCTTTTAATTTTGCTTTTTTCAAAGGATGAATAGAAAAATAAGTAAAATCAATAAGATCTAACAAACTTATTTCACGTTAGTAGTTGTTTTGCTCCTTATGTCTATTCTTTTCCTCCCACTCATTTTTATTGTTGTAGAGTTCGCAAGATGATTTTTTAAAATTTCCAATCTTTTCATTTCTTGTTTAAGCATTATTTGATAAATAAATAGGTCAGTATTACATGGATATTAGTGAAATATTTTAGATAATGGGATGATCTACAAGTTATATTATTTTTTTAGCAATTAAGTCGTGTTGACATCCAACATCTCCCTCGACACACTTAGGTCTTGATCAATACTATGAGCTTTTTTGGTTCGAATTAAAATTTAATTTTAATTTAAGTCAATGTCAAACAATCAATATTAACCACATTTTTCATAGGTCCCACAACTTTTCAACCACACATTTTAAAAACTTCTATCACAATCTACTTAAAAAAAAATCTAATAAATTAATCTATGACTACAAGACTATCAACCTAGTTGATATTATTAGAAACCCATGACATGAAATGATCCATTTCTATTTAGTTCCATTCCACTTTACTCAACAACCCAATCATTTTATTAGTAGTTGCAGTTGAGGGCCTAAGGTTTAATTTACTTGGCCCTATTTTTGTCCATAAACCTTGGATGAGCAATTATGATGCCAAAGCTGCGATGGGTTCAGGTGGCCCCTCAATCTTTCAATCGAGCAACTCTCTTACTATCCCTACCGAATTAAGCATTAACTCTCACTGTCAAACTGTCCGAATAAGAAACAACCTTTGGGGCCTAATCATGAAAGGGATTGACCTAAGAAAATTCACTTCATACTTTAGAGGCAGACAAATGAAATAGAATAAGATGGCATCAAAGAAAGAATGACAGCTAATCCAATAGTACTGGTAGGACCTTGTTGCATTTTTAATATCCCATAAGTGTATGGATAGTAACACATAATAAAATGAACTTAAGAATTTGGATATCGTTCCCACAAATACTATTATTTAACAATTGGTTTAATTATTTGTAACTTTAATTTGATCAGAAATAAGTATTGTGATTGGTGTCTAAATTATTCTAACTAAATTAAATTATTTAACGTACACAACTTATTGAATTTGGATCTTGAAAGTATGAATATGGATGCTAAGACTTACAATTTTACCTATGGATCCCCTTTAATTCGTCAATCAAGATTCATTACAATTGTAGTATTCGGTCGAATTCTTCTAAAGTATTCAATTTATCTCTCTCGAATTCTCGTTGAGCCTATTTAACTAATTCAATTTCATATCTCTATGCGAATCAAGTCTAGTTAAACAAAATACTAGTTCTAAGAATTCATCTAAGACTGCAATAATCAATATAGGTGTTTCTACACGTTATACTAATTTACTGAATCTTAATATGAGGTTTAAATCTAAAAATCACCTCTCGATTCGTAATAGATTCACAAATTTATTGAATAATTGGCCAAAGAATTCAAATTATTAAGTACATAATTAAAATCAACAAATATGCATATAAAGAACTTGAATCTGGATAAACGAAATAAAGTGTCACACATAGATTACATTGTTCGATTTAACTGTGGATTTAGCTACTCATAATAATGAAAAAAAAAAAAAATATATATATATATATATATATAGACTTCATAACTAAGTTTTGAGATTTTGATCATGAAAAGAATTGGATCTTGCACCAAGAATCTTTTTTAACCTCAAAAGTCTTTAAACCTGGCTTTTTCTCTTTGATTTTGATGATTATGTATTTTTCTTCCCCCACCAAATTATGTGAAACTAGAGGTGTATTTATGTCTTCTTCAAGCCTTGGAAGAATTTTAGCTGAATTGGGCTTTTAAAAAGATGAATTTTACTTGAAAGCCCTAACTGTACACGACGTGATGCCTAGGTGCTATAACTGGATGCCTAGGCACTGACTTTTGGGGGAAAAGATCAATAATGTGGTGCCTAAGTGCTAAGGGATAGTGCTTGGGCTCTAGCGTTAGCTTCAGTTAAACTGCATAGTTTTCAGTAATTTCATAATAATTTTTTCTCTTGATATTCAATTAAGACGATTCAAAGTACATTGAAAAACTAACTCAAAAGGCTACAACTTTGCTTAAAGTTGCATTTTCCTAATTCGAATGTTTACTAGGTCAAAAATAGGTTTAAATCTTGAGTTGAAAATTTGGAACGTCCTTGTGCGGTTGAAAATTGATTTGTAAAAATATTTTGGCCATATTTCACTCCTTTTAACTTCTAATTGCATCCAATTTTTTAATATTTACACTTTAGTCCCCCAACTTTGGATCTTACTCATTTTACCAATTTTCACTTCTTTCTTTCATTTTCACTTCCCTTCATTGGGTTTCACGTAATAAATGAAATATACAATAAATTAGGCTATAATTGTCCAAAAGAACTATTAAATGTCTATATTTTTATATCCAAATAAGTGTACAAAATGCACTTATCAGACCTTTTGAGCCATTTTTTTGGGGAAAAAAAGATTTTATAATGGTTTATTTATTTATTTATTTATTAGCGGATTTGTGGTTATAAAGTATGAAAATTTTGAGTTTACGAATAATATATATTTTTTTTTTTATCAAATAAGGGCTTAGTTCTCTCATCATTATATCTAATTTCTAATCTATTTCAGATAGATTAAAAAGCCATTAGCGCGAATCCAATAGAATGTTAAAATGTTTCACATGATTAGTCATAAATAATTGAGAATAAAATCTAACATATACTGACATACTAAATTCATATTCATATGAGGAAACCTTTAGAGAAATACTGCTATAGATCAACAAAATGAAATATGCGGTTTTCAAAACTATTTTAACATTGAAACACCTAAACATGCTAATTCATTAAAGTTGAGAACATGTTAAAGTATCCATAATAAGATCAATCAATTCTTGATTCTTATTGCAATTTTGATGAGCGTGAGACTAATTCATTGGAAGATAATATTTAACGAAGGATAATCTTTTTCATAATATAATTTTTTTTGTTAAAATATATATAATTGTAACATTCTCCAACTGTAATCTCGATAATTTAACAAACTCAAGCAAATATCATTTTGATCAAGATTGTAGTATATGTTTGAGTTGGTCAAGTTGGGCATTTTAAAAAAGAATAAATTTTGGTGTACATAAAAAATGTACACAAGGGTGTCCACACCTGTCGCATGGAGTAGAGCCAAGCACAACCCTTTAAAAAATAAACATATTATTATTATTATTATTATTATGAACAGGGTGAAATTGATCCCGTGAATCATTTTGAGAAGAATAATGTTATTTATGATCAATAATTATTTTTAATTTAGATGATAGTGACAGATTCAATGTCAAATATATCAAAGTGGAATTGATTGATCGATGGATAAGTTATATGATTGATTATAACCACTAGCAAAGAGTTATCAGACAATAAATTAGAGGCTACTGCCCGCAAGTAACAATCACGATTAAGGATGAACCACATTGTACTATTTTGAGAAACGCCTCCCAACCAGAAAAATAGTAAATTAAATCAATGCTCACCGAACTTTATTCGTAACGATCGAGGCCTAGTGTCTAAGCCGTTAACTTCCAATTGGTATTAGGATTTAACTTAAATTTCTCTTAAATGAAAGGTTATGGGTTTGAATCCTTGGAACGCAAACGAAATTCATAATTAG